TATATAATAATAAATATAGTAAATATAATATAAATATATCTGTTCTTTTCAGTAATTGTAATTGTGATGATATATACCGTGGCAATTGTGAATTTGGGGGCCGGTTAGCTCAGTCAGTTGAGCGTGGCGCTAACAATGCTAAGGTTGAGGGTTCAATTCCCGTTCGATCCCCATGTGTTGCCTGATCTAGTCGAGAGGTGGCGTCCCTGGCGGCAGGGAGGCTGGATTAAAATGATCTCTAAGGGCCCTTCCAGCCTAGGCCATTCTATGATTCTATGAAACTTAAGGAAGATTTGAGAAGCTAATTTAGCAAAAGTAGATTTATGACTTGTGTTTTCTTTTTAAACACATGAAAACAGGTATTTGCTGCCATGGCGATATTCTTTGTATGGTGTAATCAGCACAATAGTTGTATGTGAAGATACTAACTCCTTTTAGGATTGAGAAATTTTTTTGTAAACTACAGGAAACTCATTCTAGAGTACTCTCCATTGTACCTTTTCTTTTCCTGCAACTGTTATGAAAAGCAAATAAAAAGAAAAGGCAAGTAACTGAGTGCTTTGTCCAATGAAAATGGACAGCTACTGTCTGTATCGGTAGGGCTGCACAAATCCTATTGATACTAGGTAAATGAAGGGAATAGACTAGTGTTTCTTCTGCCTTGGGTAAAAGTAGGACAGTAGGAATTTTACAGTATTATAGTGGAGACATGATTCAGGTCATGGTAGATGAGGCAGTTTCTAATTAATCTCTTCCTGTTTTTCATAAACCACAAAACCCAAGAAACCTCAGGTGTGGGGGAAAGGGAGGAAAAAAGTAGACCTTAGTGCAGCATTTCCTAATTTTCTGACTTTAGGATTGAGCGTTTTGAATTTTTCTTCTTTTCTGGAAGAGTAAGAAAGTAGGGTGTTATTTAGCCAAGTGTTCTGTAAGGGAATTTCTCATAATTTAGGCCTTGTGGAGAGGATGAGTGGGAAGGTGGGGTAGGGTAAAAAATTTTTTTGAATATGAAAGTTTTGTGTGTCAAGTCTAGCGTGCCAAACAGTTTTATCAAAGACATGTGCCAACAGAAGACACCAGTCTCTGTTGTTGTTTACTTGTGTCAAACCAAAATAGTGGCCTGAGTCCTATAACAGCAACAAATCTGCTGGGTCATGATCCTGAAATCTTAACTCTAAACCAATAGAAGTGTCACACCTGAAATGAGATCTAGCTGACGTGTAGAAGTACTGCAAGACTCAGTAAGACTGTGATCATATAAATATCTGCAACATAATACATAAATTCAAAAAGACCCATAAAAAGTCACCAGCTTTGAAGTGATGTGAAATGCAGTTTTACTTACGACGTGATCTTTCTGCTCAGGCACTCTTACGGGAAAATTCTGTGGAAGAGGCAAGTCAGACCTCTTCCCTTATGTGAAACTCTATTACTTGGTGTGCCTGGAGATGAACCACCACAGAGCTCTTAGAGCTTTGTGTACATATATATAGCAATGGCGTATGTAATTTTCTAGAGAGTGGAAATTAAGGTTTCTGGTTTCAGATCGAAGCTTTAGAAGAATTTTCTTCTAATATCTATCTCTTGTTCCAGCCGAAAGGATAGCAAATCACTGAGATTTGACCTTCTTCCCATAGTATTTTGTGTAGATAATATATCAATTTCCTAGGCTAGAAAGCTTAATTTCTCTTCACAGTGTTGCTAGAAACAATCTTGTGCATCTTCCCAATCTTAGTACCTGTAAAGTGAAATGAGATACAGAACCAATGAGCCATCAGGTACCTGAAAGTGTTATGTCTGGCGAAGAGGTAAGTTAGAGGGATAAGGCAGCTCAGGAATTGACTTGGTGGTTTTCTGATGATGCTGTCCCCAGTAGTAGCCATATTAGATATTTTGGATGTTTGTCCCGAGATTCGAGCTGCAGATGAACGGACTGCTTGAACTCAGGTGTCAGTTTTAGTCATCTTTTTTTGGGGTACTGTTCAGCTCTGCTACCATCTGCACTAACATTTGTCCTGAAATGACACTACAGTGTGTATACTTATATAATGTTGTTTGTTTGTTTATTTGTTTTTCAGACACAGGATGAACCCACTGATAAAAACTACAGCTAGCTAAACAGCTATAAAATGCCCAAAGTTGGGTCTACAAAAACAGTTCAAGTTGAAAATTCTGACAGTGATAGCACCATGGTGGAAAAAACAGCTGCGAGAAAGGTATTCATGTCCATTTAATTTCAGTGAAATTAAGAGCATGTGTTTTATCATGACTTTTGTTGCTGTGGTGGGAAGAAGTAAATGTGGATCTGTATTCTGGTATCAAGTGCAGAATAAAAATCTGTAAGTTTTTGTGTGACTTTAACTGTAAATTAAACTAAGGAGCAGAATTTATGCGTTTTATTGTAGTGTGTAACTTTAAAGGAAGCTGAATGTATTTGGTTTACTTGATGTAAGTTAGTGCATGATTTCTATATCTTACATCGTATGAAGTCTGTGCACACTCACAAGAACAACGATTCATATTTTATTTAACTTTTCACTGTCTTACTCTCGGTCATGAATACATGAAACATTTCTGAAGGCCCACGACAAAGCAGACCAATGATCAAACACAAGTTTTTTTATATTCCTTTGTAACACAGGGGTGTGTTCTCTCTGTTAGGAGTACTTGAAAGCCAAATGCTGCAGAAAAGTTACTCTTAACTCCTGTGCAAGGGAGCACACTTCAAAAATTGTAAAATCTGTGTTTGAATGTTGGAGAATGAAGGAATGTGGGAGCACCAGTAGTAGTGAAGGGTGGTTTGCCGTTTATGCGTGTGAATTATCCTATCGTTTTCAGACTTCTGGAGCCAAGTTGCAAATAACCCAGTTTTCCGTTTTGCCTGCATAGTACACTTGGGCAATAGACAGCAATTTATCTGTAATACAAATGAATAACAGAAGATAGAATAATATTGTGAGTGATGAGTTGTATATTGCCCTAAGAAGAGAGAATCCATTTATCTCCCGAATGATGTTTATAGCTGTCTTCTCTGGGAAAGGGGTTTGTGTGTGTGTGTGTGGTCATTCTTACTGTTACTATTTTGTTAAAGTCTGTATTCTCTGTAAGACTGCTTAACGAGTGTATGTAAGACAGGAAGACAGAAAAAAAAGGGAAAATATTAGAAGATCTAGCATCTAATTCGCACTGTTTATCTTCTGAAAGCATTCATAGAAAACTTTAGACCTTCCAGTCTCTTGCTAGTTTGTTTTATGGGTCTCAGTAAACTGAGGCAAAGGTAGTTGCTTCTGCCAGCCATGTTGACCTACTTAGATAAGAAAGGGAAGTTAATAGTAAAATGAGGAAATTAATGTGCTAGTAAAGGGATGAAAAATGTTTGGTTTCCTTTTTTTTTTTTTTTTTTTAAAATTGTTCGAGTCCTTGTTTAGAATATGGTTACCTGAAATGTTGAATACTGGGAAAGGGGACAATGTCTTGGGCCTACAGACAGCGAGAATAGGAATGCTATTGCAGTGAAATTTAGTGGCATTAAATCCTTTTATGTATACACTTATAAGTAAGTTACATTTTGTGAAGATATTTAGGTTATTTATTTAACAAAAATACCACATTTTCTGGCTTTATAAGCTCTCGTTATCTTGACACTTCAGTATTTCTGAAAAAATACTTTCGACACAGGAAAATGTCAAAGACAGTAGCTGCTCAGGCTAGGAAAATTGACATCAATATTTTCACGCTTTAGTGGTGTTTGTAATTTAAAAAAAGTCTTTAACACAGAGAGTATAGAAATAGACTGTCATATTTTTATACTGCAGATGATGTTCAGTGATAAGACAAGGGGCAACAGATGCAAGCTGGAGGGTAGGAGGTTCCACAGAAACATTGGGAAAAGCTTCTTTCCTGTGAGGGTGATGGAGCACTGGCACAGGCTGCCCAGAGAGGTTGTGGAGTCTCCTTCTCTGGAGACATTCAAACCCTGCCTGGACACGTTCCTGTGTGACCTACTGTAGGTGATCCTGCTCTGGCAGGGGGTCTGGACTAGGTGATCTTTCAAGATCCATTCAAACACCTAACATTCTATGAGATTACTTCCTAGTCTCTTTGACTAGGACAAATTGCTCCGCAATCTGTACAAATTACTTTGCAATCTGAATTTAAAAAAAAATGAATCAATTGAAATAAAGAGTTTGCTTGTGAGGTCCCTTTTCTTCCTCCCCTGTCCACCTCTGGTTCCCCCTCACCTCCTCTCCCTGTTGCCTGCTGCCCTCGTAGAAATGTGGTGCTGCTTTCCAGAGTTGAATCTGCAACCACTGCCAAAGGAACTGCCTTACCAGTGATCCTTGTGCCCAGTTCAGTATTTGGTGGTTGTCTTGACACCTTCCTCTCCAGTAATCTTCTACCTCTTATCCCTATAAACTGTTCCCTCTCTGTTGATAACAGTAGCAGTTACATCTGCTGAGTCATGTAACCCCCATACCCTGCAGTCTTTGCAAAATTAGGTAATCTTCTGAAACAGAGTGAAACATTAAAGAAGATCTGAATTTATATGAAGATATGAGTAACTTTTTCCAGGGAACAGAAAAGTGAACATGGTGTCATTTGTTTAACCACCAGGAAGTACAGCAAATTTTGATTTGATTTAGAAGGGAGTAAATTAACATTCTATTCTTAATGGTCACATAAACCCCTTCAGTTTTCTTGTTGGTTCAAGTGAAAGTTTGTCCTTAGCTGGTTGCTGATTTGTTGTTGGACTGATCATCAGTTCAGGAAATATGGCCTGGTATTTGAGATTAAGATGCCAGTGAAAGCAGGATTACTTAGAAAATTGAAGTGTAGGGGAAGATGGAAGTTTGACCAAGGACATGGATAAGGAATCACAGTGGTGGACTAATTACATTGATGCCAAAAAGTAAACTGATACATTGCTTGCACTGTTATGTTGAGTCTTTCTCGCTATCTGCCTTGGCACGATGTATAATGTGAGATTAGAATAATGTAGGGTGTGGCTGGGGATTGTATGATGTAAATGGATATGTAATATTGAAAATATGAGAACCTAAATAAAATTGTAAGATTATTTAAGTGTTGTAGTTAATACTCCTGTGTTGGTAATTGTCAGAAGTGTTTAGCTGGCTCTTGCATAATCTACAATCTTTTCCCCCGTATTAGAAAAATAGACAAAAGATTACCAAAATGTAGTTGTTTGGATTCAGCCTAGAAATTTGTGGTAACGTTCAACAGACAGGAAGGTAAGAGCAAAATATGAGTTTGAACAACAGAAGGTCATGAAGACGAATCTGTATTACATACACAAACATAGAACTCTGATTGACCAGGCCAAATCAACAGTAATAATTCTAAATTAAGTATCTTTAGAAAGTAGTGGAGACGCCCTCTGCCCAGAAAAGTGATAGAAGCTGCATTCCTGGAAACATTCCAAGTTGGGCTTGATGTAGCTCTGAGCAACCTGATAGATGTCCCTGCTCACTGCAGGCGGCTTGGACTAGATGACCTTTAAAGGTTCCTTCCATCCCATAACATTCTCTGATTCCATGAAATTTCTGTAAAGCAAATAAATATTTCTCTCAATATGTAAATATTTGCAACCATTAATTTAAAAGCAATAGTATTTGCAATATTAGAACTTCTTATGAAAAAGTTATGGATCTATTAACCCACTGTCACTGATGTAAGGAAGTGCTGATGCTGCAGATGAAAGGATACTAAAGTAAAATTTTAGCTCTAGTGGCATATTTTGTTACAGAAGTGCCTTGACTAATCTGGAAAATACCTCTTGTCCAAATACTTTTCTCAGTGTTGTGCGATCGGTGAGTGACCTTTCACTGTGCCATCAGATGCCTGTGTCTTCTAGTAGCGTGAAAAGACGCTGCAGTGTTCAACATCCAGATAATTGCAGTCGTCCTTATGTATTCGAACTGTAGTTTTCACAAAGACCTTTGGCTTATTTTTTCTGTAGAATAGTGTATTCAAACTACTTCTGCACTTAGCTACATAAACCTGCTCCTAATTGCTTCTGTGTCCACTCTGTTATTGAAGCAGAAATGTCTTTGAAGTACTCGTGGAGCTTCAGCTCTATTGCTGTAAATGAACAGAAGAAAGGTATTTTGTTTATTAGCATTTCCTTATATGTTCATAGATGCATTGTAGTCAGAGGAGGCATAATGCAAAGGGATGTTCTCTTAAAAACAGTAATGTTAGACACCACTACCTAAAAAAAAAAAAAAATCCCCATTCTTCTCAAAATAAAAACTGTAATGGCCTAAATATATTGTGTAAGACTATTCCAGTGGTTAATATATTAAGAGGAAAGAAAAAACACTTGCAGGGTTTGGTTTTCCTTTCATAGTTAATACAAAGCTTAGCTCTTGCAGGTTGTGCACTCTTAGCTGTTGACTGAGGAAGGTAGTAAAGTCAGCACTGTTATGAGACTTAGTCTTCCATATTTGTCCAGTGGAAGTTAACTAGTAAATAGCTATGAGAATCAGCTATGTGTTCACGTCTTCTGAGAGCTTAAAAAAAATCATTAGGAATAACATCTCTGTTAATAAGCTGAGTTTATATCCTATAAGCTTTAGGGTATGTGTATTTTTATTTCAGTCACTCAGCGTGGGAGCATAAAATAAATTAAAAAATTTTAAGTGTGTACAGTGGATAGATCATGTAGTGTGTGCATGAGATAATTTATAAACATAAGAACGTAACAAAATTTTCATTTATCTGAACTTTTATATTAGAACTTATGTGGTCAATACTCAGTAAGTAAACTATAGATATGTGATCCAAAGGAGAAGTACATTTAAGGTTTGTAAGAATTAAGAATTTGTCTCTTCTTAGAAGAGTCCCAACAATAGTGCCCAAAATCATACCATACTCCAGTATGTAATTATCTTTGATAGGCAGAAGAAGAATGCTTCTTCTCCCAGGGTTTAGTACATCTGCTAGATTATATGGCACTCTGTTGTCTCCTTTTGTGTGTTGTCATTGATTGTAGTGGTAGCAGACAATAGAGCTCGAATGGAATGTCAAGAAAGTGCCCGGACTGCTGTTTGTTAGCCTTTCAAGGCAGTTTCTGTTGAACAGATTAAAAATGTGTTCCTCATCATAGCACACTAGTTAGTATGGTTTTGTTGACAGAGAGATTTCTTCCTTGTTACTACATCCTCCAGTGAGGCATGCATTAAATGTTGAGACGTGCAGATCCAGTTCATCCATTTGCCCCAGAATAGAATAAGCTGTACTCTGTTCTTGACAGATATTTGCCAGGCCTTGTCTTTAAAGCATTGCCTGATGGAAATTCCAGTCTCCTTGGGCAGTTTATTCTGATTCTTAATTACACTGACTGGCATAGAGTTAGATACTTAGTAGAAAGATAAACAACCTCTCCTTGTCACTTGTTGCAGTCTAAAGCCATTAAATGTTCTCCAGCTCTAGTGGACATGGAGAGCATGTAATGCCTTTCTCCTTGAAGCAGTAGTTTATGTATCTGAACATTATCACGTCTTTGGTGTTTTTAGTAGTTTTCACTTTAGATTAATGAACCTCTTTAGACAGTCCACAGATATTCTCAGTTACAGGTTGCTTTGTGAAAGGTGTCAACTTCATTTTAGGTTGCTTCCATCAATCACATTAAGCCAATATATATAGACTTGTTCATGTTGAATTTTGAAATTTGCTTTGGGTGCTGAGAGATGTCCATGCTGTTGCAGTGACCAGGAGTAACTGAGACAGTGGATGCGCACTCTTTAAATTGAAATAGCTGTTCTAACCTGCAGGACTTGCTACCTCCTCTTGCCTCCTTTACTTAGAAATTGAAATCTAGGAGGCTGTTAAGTGTTTTCTGGCTTTTAATGTGGGACCTTGTGACTATACAGTTACTGATTTCTGTCAATTTGTAAAACCTTGGTTTTATCTTGGCTTTTCCAATTTTGCTTTTTATTTAGACTGTTTTTCAAATTCACTAGCCATTTTACTTCCCCTTTGCCAGTGTTCTTTGCTTCTCCCTCTCTCCCAGTTGTGATGGTGTCTACATATTTAATTGCATCTCTGTTTCAGCAGTGTCACTGAAAATTCTAAATAGCATTCACTTTGTACAGACTTCTCAAGCAGACTGTTCATTGCATCTTTTGGGTTGGAAAATACACCAGTGGTGGTAGCTAAATGTTTATTTTTACAATAACTAAATACTCTCAATTTTTTCAGTTTCTGTGTATTTGTAGTATAGCCTGTTCTTTCATTTTTCAGTGTACTGAAAGTAGACATTTTAAACTGTCTGGCTTCCTAATTAGATCATCACAAAATTAATATTCACTGATTATAAAAAAATAGTGCATCAATCATAATATTTAACATAATGCATATATATGAGAAAAATTATTGCTTTGTTTGGAACAAAGCATGAGAGAGCTCTTGGTGAGAATGGGCCAAAGCTGGAAACTCATATGTGTGTGGAAGAGATTAGAAGGGATTTAATAATTTGCGAATGATCGATTGCGTTAGGTTGATGATCTTCCTTCCGAAGTAACAACATAGACGCTTTATCTCCCAAGGGCTATGAGGAGTCTTAAGGAAATTGTAGATTTTTCTTGTTCTAGAATGTAAAAAAGAAATGGTGATGGGATATTTGCTTCCTTTGGAATTCTGGAGGAAGACTGGGTTTGGGTTTGGTGTGTGGGTTTTATTCTGTGTTTTGGTTTCAGGTTTTGTTATTTTGGGGGGGTGTTTGGTTTTTTTATTTCAGGTTTCTAAACTCTGAGCGAATATAGATTTTCTCTGGTGGCATTACCCTTTCACTTCAGGAATTCTCCTAATACAAACTAATCCCTTCTTTGTGACTTCCCTGGTACAGACATTTGTTGTCTGAAGACTGTGGAGTTTGTTTGCAGGTTCTTTTTGTAATCACTTCTGCCTATACCCCTTTGACAGCAGTTTAAACTCAGTGTGTCAGATGTAATAACCAAACTGCTCTTCCTACCTCTCCTTGTTTTTAGAAAAAGGAAAGGTGCTCTCGAGAGTAGTGCCTTTACTTGGAGTTATTTTCCAGTTTTCCTTTAATCAAAATAAATGTTTTAACTTCTTGTCTCAGAAGTACCAAGGAGTGGCCTTTTGTTTTTCACTGATTGGCAAGTCAGTGTATGTTACTCTTCTACATATGGAAAATGTACCTGTTGGTGGTTTCATCCAGTCATGTCTTAAGGATGATACAAAGCTCTGGGGTTGTGGTCGCTGACATAGCTGGGTAATGAGTTTCTGCAGCATGTAAGGAACAGAAAAGGCTGTGTTTCTACCTTGTATCTTGATCAGTAGGCCAAAATCTTGGCATTTGCAGAGGGTTCTCTCAAGCAGTCTTCTCATTAACTTGCTATCTTTTACATACTTTGACCACCCATATTATCAAAGTAGTCAAACATAAATTAATATTGTGCCCATCCAGCTTTTCCTCTGTTCATCCTGAAATGTATTTTATAAACCAAAAATGTCAGATTTATACAACTGAAAATTCCAAGTAGGTTATACCTATTCTTTCTAAATTTGTTACCAGTTTAAAAACTTTCTTTGTAGATTTTCTGCATTATTAGTAAATTTTGCTTTAGAGAATAAAGCACAACACTGTTACTCCTGTTGAAATAGAAAGGGAGTTCTGTATGGATGGATTACAGTGTGGGGGTGGAGGCCGGGGAGGGTTGTTAGAGAGTTGGTTTTTTGTTGTTACTGTGTTACTGTTCACAGTCTCAATTGCAGTGTGGGCTTTTAATGTGCTTTTAATGTGATTGTTATGGTCAGGGAAGGAAATTGGGATGATCGTTAAGACTTAGCGAGTTCTTTTCCAGTTTGTTTTGGTCCTTGCTAATTAATCAAGGTTCTAATAGTGAACAGCAATTCTCCAGTGATGTATCTAGAAGTAGAAATAACACAGAATATACTCATTTTAAAAAAAAAGAAATGCTATTGATTATTTTAGTAAGATTACTTTAAAAGTTTTTGAATAAACTATGTAATACACATACATAGACACATGCACATTTGTTCTCGCATAGCGGTCTTTTCAGTCTGTGTACGTTATAAGACTATTCTGCTTTACGCAAAAATTACTTAGTATACTTTTTATTTATATTAGAGCAAGGACAAGATTGCATCCTACAGCAAAACTCCCAAAGTGGATAGGAGTGATGTGGGGAAGGAAATGAAAGAAAAGTCTTCCATGAAACGTAAACTTCCTTTTGCTATTAGTCCATCCAGAAATGAAGATCGCAATTCAGACACAGGTAGAACCTTTTTATTTCCTTAACTAATTATTTGTTGGTAAAATATGTCCTAATTTAATTACTTTTATATTATGTTTTTATGCTGATTATTTTTTCCACTATAAAAAAGGATACTAAATATAAAAGTTGCTTGCTTACTTCTGATTATTGCTTCTGAGTCTGACAGACTTTCATTCTGTCTTTAGCAGGAGCTAGCATGCCAGCATAGTTTATCTACGTTTTTCCAGTTGTTTCCTAACCTCCTTCTTTTGCTTCTATTTTAGCAATAAATCTTTCTTTTCATTGTCATCTCTAGAGATCCATTTGTTTAAACAAGTAAACTGATGAGAAGACCTGTAAGTGCCTTGATGTGAGACACATCTGTCAGCCTTTTCTTGCCTGTATTGGCGGGGGAAGAGTGGGAAAGCTCGGTAGATGTACTGTCCTCCATATAAAAGAGAAGGTTGCCACTGTTAAGGAACTAACCATGGGGAGCTCAATCTGAGTTCCTGTGATCAGTTCAGAATACCTTTTCTGAACAGGCTGGTAGTTCTTCCTAACTCAAGACTTCAAAATGCTGTTGTTAACATGGCTTTTTTCAAATCAAGATGGAAGGATCGGGATGTATTCCAAGAGTACAGTTATCTCTCAGTCTAGGTAACGAGTTATCTGTGTCATAGCTCAGTATTTGTTCGTTCAGTATCAAAATAGTACCTGTGCCCTCTGGAAGGGTAGCAGAAGGCTCAGTACTACTGTTTCTTACGCAGTTCTTGTGTATTTGAATGTTTTCATAAATGGTTAATTCCCTTAATACAGTTAGATTTAAATACAACGTAGAAGTGTATACCTCCATATACGTTTAATTTTTGTCCAGGATTCATTTTGTGCAGAGATTTGGCTACTGAATGTTGCATACATATTTTTGTTACTATAAGGAGAATATGGTATGAAATCCAGATTTGAAATAGTCACATTACAAAACAATATTCTTGGCTTTAAATCTTTATTTTCATGGATTTTACAAAATTCTAGAGTCTTAGCCTATTAATGATGGCACTTGATTCTGAAAAGATGTGTGAAAAAGACATGAAGAAATACACTCCTGGTGTCTGCTTTATTAAATTTATCGCTTGGTATTAGACCTTAACTATTTTCCCGAATGGAAATAAGTGTATTTAGAAATAATATTTAGCACTTATCTAGTGTTTTCTAAGTTGAAAATATTCTGTCATCTCTCCCCACCTCTATCAACTTTAAATAATTCGTTGGTGTAACATCTTGTAAGGTAATGTCATTTTTTGTGTTTCTCTTGCTGTAGCATCTATTGTCACAGTTGCCACAAAGAAGATTGATTCCTCTAGGCACTTTAGACACGCACAAAAAGACAACGTGCACACCACAAAACCTTTTTGTTACAAGTTGTAGCAGGGAATTGAAATAAACAGTTGAAGCAGGGGCACAAAATGCCTAATGCAACAACAGGAGGCACGTAGCTCTTAACTGGTGCTCAGCAAACATCATAGTTTGTTGTCCATTTCGTTACTGCTGAGGTAAGAGCAACTGCCCTGTTTCACAGATGAGGAACTTAGTACACAGGCTTTCCAGAAACTATCGAGGCAGGAGCATTACTAGGATGAAAAAGCAGTTCTTGTAATGCTGATTCTCTACGTAACCAATTAGGTTAGACCAGTGGGAATGAACCACTTACATCCGTGCCAAGTTTGTCACTGACATGGATTAGGACTGACATCAGTGGTCATGAAATGCAGTGCTGCTTCTGACACAGACTTGCCATTAAATGTTAAAAAGGTTTGCCATCACTGGACTCAACTGTTACCTCTGACAGAAATGTCTCCCTACTAGCTACGTAGAGAGAGTGGCAAATGTTATTTGAGAAGGAAGTGAATAAGTGTTTGGAGATGAGAGTGTAACCAGAGACAGAGGGAAAAAGAAGATGTGATGAAAAGCTGCTTATCAGCTAGTAGTGCTAGTGTTCTAAAAAATTAAAAAAAAAAAAATAATCTAAGTTTTCGTCTGATTCTTTGTGAAAATCTGTAGTGGTATTCTAGGGAAATGATCAGAAATTGTGTATACAGTTAATAATTGAAAAGTTTCTGCAAAAATCTGTGAAATATGTGGTACTACTTAATTCTTCCTGCTGTCCGTTACCGTTCCAGGATGTATTTTATCCCTTCTGGATAGCTTTATTTTTAGTAGCCTTCCAATATGTTTTTTTCGGAGTTCAGAATAACAAAATGTTCTTACTACTTTCTTAAATAGTTTCTCTGTAACTGATATTTTGATTGAATTTGATTTTCAATTTTTTTTTTACAGATTTAGGGTCTTTTAGAAAAATTGTCTGGGTGAATAAAAATCAAGAAATGCCATGAGAAGTAACTCTAAGGTAGAAAAAAATGTTTTAGTAAGGGGTTTATCTCCAAGATGCATGATAGGGTGAATCAATGAAAGAATGGGAATATGTAATTTTTAGAGCTTTACGTCATTAGAGCTGTCTTGATTCTCGCTCCAGAGGATTCATTAGTAAACTAAGATTTTTGTCTTTTTCGCTTTATTTTTGGAAAAACTTCCCCCTGGAATTCCACCTCTTACTCTTTTTTGTGATATTTTCTTTTTAGTTCAGGTATTGTCTAGAAACTATAAGTGGTAATGAACATGTATTTAGCCAAACTGAATGTTAATGTAATTCGGAAATAATTTTTTAAATTTGATACCTATAAATTTATATGTACAGTAAATTTTACACTCAGTATGGCAACACCAAAGTCAAACAGTATTTGTAGCATCCCGTAAGAGTCTAGAATAATTCTAATGCTCCTGTTTATCTAGATTTAGATCTAAAACAGTGTTTTTGCCCAAGAAACTGCTGCAATAAATTAGTACTAAATATTAGTATTAACTATTCTCATTTAGCCTTTAGATTACTGTCTTAATATTTTCATTCTGGTTAGGACTGAGTCCAGTTGCCTAAATGTAATTGTGTAGTGCCAGCTGAGACTGCCTGCAGCAGCTGAGAAGTTTGTGTGGGGTGGAAAAATAATGAGAGTCACAGGGGACTTGTGTTAAGTTAAACCTTTGAAGGATTCTACACGCCAGTGTTGGTAAGACTGATGGAATGGATGGTGGAAGGAGAAGCATTTCTCGTACCTTTTTTATAATAAGGTCTCTGCTTTGAAGTCTACCAATCCAAAACTGTAATGGAAAAGCCATCACTTATTCAGACTCCTTTAATAGCATTATTTAAATTTTGTTAATTTTTGTTGTTTTTATGTAATCTCTGATGATGTTATCAGAATAAGAGCAACAGGCAGGTACTGCTTTTGCAAAGGACCGATTTGCTTGCTTTTTACACTTCAATAGTCGAAAGAGAAAACTTAGAATTTTTCATAATAATGAAACATAACTGTAGGTCAGAAAAGTCTTTTCATTGTGAAGATAAGCACAGGCACTTTTTTGTTGGTTTTTTTTGTGTTTGGGTTTTTTTTTTTTGGTATAGTCTTGTTCCATAGTTGATTATTCAGGAAGAACAGCAAGAGTTACAATTACACTGAATGTGCTAATTTGTTGATCTTTCCTGGGAAATTATGTTCTCCACGTTTTCTGTTCATAGTAGCATCTTGGCTTTGTTTTCTGACCCCTTCAATTTTTGTATTTAAAAGTAGTCTAAACATGACACAGTCGTATTTCTTTTAGCATTTAATTGACATCCAGCGGAGCAAAGCAGCTGTCCTCTTTATGTACCATGTGTACATCACAGTAACACAGTTTCTATTCTTGCGCTTCCCATAGTTACAGAGGTTAGTGGGGCTGATAAAGGGACGATTTACACAGTGTGTTACTGTTTGCTGGATTTGGCTTTGTTGTTCAGCTATTACAAATTTCTGTAACTGTTGTTTGGACTAGAGGCAAGAAAGCAGAGGTGGTTTTGTGTGTGTGTTGGCTTGGTTAAATAAAGATGCCATAAAGTTGATTAATTAGGTATCACAGTAGTAGTTAGATGTCTCTACAGTGTACAGTATACTGTGAGGTTTCTTCACCATATTCTGATCTTTGTTTCACTGAGGATGGGAAGCAGCAGCCAATTATGGTGTGTTTCTCTTTAAAATAACTTCAGTCAGATTACCACAATCACCTGGATTTCAGAAACTCTCTCTTCATAATCTGCTGAATTGATCATGTTGACCTGTCCTCTGCAGATGTTAGCAGTAAGCATATTAGGCTTTTGTTCTACATCACTTTATCTTATAACTTCCTTAGAAGCATTTGTTTCAAGCAGTTTCTATTTTAGCTTTGCATGGTCCTATTTATTAATTCTGTTATTGCTTGTAATTTGCACTGTGATGGGAGATTTACATGAAACCGGACTATCATGAGCCCCTGAAGTTTGAATTTGGTCTTTTTTTGCTTTATTTTCTTTATCAACTAACATGGTTATTTTACCAAATGGAATATTATGTTAATCTGGCATGATCTGAGAAATCCATATGCTACATTATTTAATGATTTTCCTAAAACGTATAGAAATTACTTGTAGTTTATCCAATTTAAAAAAAAATTCAACAAAAACCAAAACAAAACAGATACATTATAGTTTACCTTGAGACATGGGACATAATCTGTCATACATTTGTTCTAAAATAATTATCGTCGATTCTGATGTTTCTCATACCAGCATGTTTAAGTACTCTGAGTGACTTCCATGAAGCTCTTCTACAAATAAGTGCCCAAATGCACCTAAATAACTGTTCATATAACTTGGCTGTTTTAAAATCTTTTTTTTTTTAAAGTGCTAGGTGAAAAAACTTACATGGCAAAAGGAAAATCTTAGAAGGAATGTAGTCCAAATAGATTAGACTGTGTATTATGAAGATTATTTAATAAAGATAAAATAATATGAAACTACTTGAAGAGTTTTGATCTTTATTTTTGTATAACAAATAAGAAGTTCCCTGATGTTCTATTTCTAACTCCAGAGCACCAAAAAGTGACAAGAAAGTAAATGTAAAAGATAATTGTCTTCCATAGACTTTGAAAACAAAATGCTCAAAATCTAAAAAAAGAAACCAAACTAACAAACAACTAATTGACTTTAGCAGTCAATTTTATACATAAAATTCTACCTAAAACTCATTTCTTAAACTGATACTATTCTTCTATTAGGGAAAGTTGCTATTGTTCAAGATGTATAGACATCACGCACACAGCTGTGGAAAGTTTTCTGTTGCCACGAGATAAAGAATAACTAAAACGTTGAAGTTCCTGAACATTAAGTTGGTCTTCTCCTGCTAGGGTATGGTGTACTGAGTGATGATATCCTTGGAGCAGTGAAAATAAATCTTACAATATATTCTGCAATGAGTGTAGTGGCTGTTCCCAGTAGTTTATAAGATTTATTTTTTTTTTGTGGATTGGTGTGGCTGCTTTATCAACAGTTACATTGTTGTTTTCCTTGGATTTTAAAAAAGAGTAGTTTTTACTATTTAATTTTTTGTTTATTTATTGGTATATAAAATTTCCTTTTTCATATGCCCTACTCCCTTACTTTTGCTTCCTTCCCCTTTTGTCCTATGTTAGTTTATCTTGTATATTCCAAACCAGGGCATAGACATGAGATTTTGGTGGCGTAAAAGCAATAGGCTCTTACAGGACATACTCCAGTAAAAGGATTATCAGGTACACTTAGTGTAGTCCTGAGCTTTTTTTTTTTTTTTTTTTTTTGATGTAAGCAATATGAGTTACTTACAAGATACCAAATATTGAATTTGATAAGAATTTGTTTTGACAGAAAAAGAGTAGGTATCTGGAAAGACAAGATAATTACAGTACCTGAAGGATCTTC